AAGCAACATCCTAACTGCATGCGCTGATGACTCACATGACATCTCATGACTTGACAATGACTGACGAAAGTTTTGATCGGCTCAGCTACAGTTGCGCATGGTATGACGGGACGCCTGGCCTCATCGGCTTGTAGGGAAGACTCCAACTGTCGCTGCCTTGAAGCCAAAGCGAACGCGGACGACCAAGATCAGCGATTCAGTACTACACACGACATGCGTATCTTACAGAAACGATCCAAAAAAACATGCGGAGGTCTCCGACAGCGGGTCGCAGTTGTTTCTCACCGTTCAGTCCTAGTTGACTGGTTGTCTTAATGCTGGCACTGGCTTCGTTCCATGCAGCTTCTCATAGTACCCATGGGCACATTCGTAAGCACATTCGGAATGTTGTGTATCCGAGTTGCTTGGCAGTGACGATGAGGCTACCTGTTTCCTGGTTACATCATTGGTGCATATCACAGATGCTTGACGCCCGGACACAGAGTGATCAGTCCTTCTTTTTCAAGTAGTCTTTCAGCTTGATCTCTTCAAGTTCCAGGTCCTCAGGGCTGGATGTTGGTGCCACTTTGGTCCGTAACTTCGCATATACATATCCTTGCAAGGCAGCCTGCCTCACTCCAGTTGCCGATGCGAGTCTTGTGGTGGTACTTGGGGCCCCCAGTAAGTTGTTGCGGAGTGAACATCATCTTGGCTACGAGATGCCGTGGCGAGAAAATGCGAGAAGGGGGGTCAACTACTCGCAGCCACAGCTTGAGCCACTACCTGCCGTCTGCGCCTGCCTGTGCCCGCCTGTGCTCGGAATCTCTCGCATGTTCCCGCCACAGCCCCGTGTAGCAGTTGTGGAACAGCATTTGTGAAGCAGCAACTGCAAGTGGCCTTGCTTTCTACCGCATGAATTCTAGTTCGTCGGTTTAACGTGCCGGTCTCTGCGACTACGAAGGCAGTCCTACCAAGTCCTACCCACTTAGTGTCAAGGAGGTCACATACGCGACTCTCATCACCTGCAGTGAGCAAAAGAGCAAAAACGGAGCGAGCAAAAATGAGAGAGCATGGCAGAGAGTCACGGGAGGACGGGAAGGGAGCATGCAGACAGCATGGAGACAGCATGGAGACAGAATGGAGAGCATGTCATGGGTACACGACGTCACGAGGCACTCTCCCTGGAGGGCCTCGTTAACAGCCGCTGGCTCAATAACTCCACCGCCTTTTTGATGGCTGGCCTCTGCACTCCAAGCAAGCTGCTCTTTGAGAACGAAAAATTTGCTCTCCACTCACAAGGCCGTATACAGTATTAAGCTCTCTCCACATAAATACACTAACACAAAGAAAGTGGCAAAACACACCCGGTGTCTTGCTCTGGACTCACAAGGTACAGACGTTTTTGCACGGTGTTGCAAGGACTCACAAGTTGAAGAGACTTTGGCGCCACGGCCTTGCGCCGTCTTTCAAAGCTGCTGCTGCCCGCTTGGAAGCCTCACCTGTCTTGGGCTTCGGCCTCGTGAATTAACGCAAAAGAACACCACAATTTGGCAACATGCGAAAAGCTTGCCTGATCTCGAAACCATCCAGATCACTGGAGTCTAAGTCCTGGCAACTCAGCGATGGACTCCATGGGGCCTCTTGACCCAATTTACCCAACCAGATCGGAGACCCTGTCCTGAACGTCCATTTCGCCCAGCACCTCTTCTCCCTCGAAATGGCCTTTCCATGAAAGTTTCACCTGAACGCGGATGGCTGCGCGGTGCCCAGAATGCATTCCCGGCTTCCGTATCGGGGCGCGGCACTCGACCCTGGATGCTGACAGACGACACGGCAGCACGTTTTGGCGAGCTTCTGAACTTTAACCGGCTTGTGGGGATGAGTGTGCAGGCAACGCAAGACCAGGCTCAACCAAATGCTTGGGCTGGTCGATTCCCAAGTTTTTTAATAATTTGACAGTTTTTGGCTTCAACGGTAAACCTGCCTCCTGGCTGCCCCTATCGAAGCACCATGAAACTTTCCTGCTGGAGCGAACTTGATTCTCATTGTGAAGCTAAGTGGGCATATTGAGGATTATGAGGCTAAGTCTGGTTGGAAGGTGTGCCAGCTTCTAGATTCTTGCAGTTTGCCTCCAGCCTGTTGATGATCTGCAGCTGCCGGGGGTCAAACTTGCTTCGTGATCTTTGGCCCTCTGGAAGCTGCTTTGCCAGGTCGTCTCTGACGTGATGAGCAATGAGTCTGTTGATCAGAAAAGCACAAGACCTGTGCTTGCATCCCGTGGCGGCTCTATGACACCACTGGTACCCCTTCTACCAAATCAAAAGTGCCTTGTGTTTTTGTGCCGTTGCTGGTTACGGGAAGCAACGTGGGCCAAAAGATCTGGCTAAGGCCAAGACGCTTCCTCCCGAACATCCATCGAACATGACCCCGACACAGGATGTTAGAACTGTTCGGACTGTTAGGGCTGTTAGCTGAGACTGAGACAGTTGCGATGTGCTGCACCGCGCCGAGCGTACGTAGCAAATGCCGAGGTTCACACGGTGAACTCGAAACCAAGCCGGGGCCTGAGCAGCTGCCGCACTCCAGAAACACCCACGACATCCCACGACCCACGCTTTGCGAGTCCCCAAGTCTTGGCCCAGCCTGCCACGAATGTGGTATGCGGACGAATCTCCGGTCACCGTCACCTTCGTGGCGTGAACCTCGGCAACTCCCCAAGAAGCATCGCGATGGCAACGTGGCAGGAGGGAGCCTTGTTCTTCTCATCCGACACCTGCGCAAGCATCCGAGAATATCACAAAGAACCAGAGTGCAATCTTGCAATTCCAGTATAGCATCTTGATGAACCTGGAGGAGGAAGAAGTTCTCGTCACCCAGGATCTGCAGAAAGTGTAGGAGAGTGGAGCTTCGTGCAATGCACTGCTCGGACCAGCTTCGTGCACTAAATGCAGGTTCGCGCACCGCGAATTCGCGCAGTGAACGCCGCGGATTCGCGCACCGAAACAGCACCCCCGCACTGATACGGCAAATTCGTGCACCGGTGGTTTGTCGCACTGGCGAGATTTGCCGCGCAAAAACCCTAAACCCTCAAGGTTAGAAAACCCTAAATCCTACCCTTTGACGCATTCAGACCCCTAAGCCCTGAACCCTGACTCTGACAGCACTAAGTCCTAAACCCTTAAAGCCCTCAAGCCTAAAACCCTCCATGAAAACCCTCAGCTCTGAAGTCCAGCAAAGAAGCCTGGACACTTGGGGCTCTGCGGGTTTAAGAAGCCTTAACCCTCAAAGGTGTCTAAAACCTAAAAACCCTAAACACCCTGGACCAAGAAAACCCTCAGCCCTCAAAACCTTGATTGGCGTGCATGCAACACCCCTGAACCCTATGTACAGCCTGAAACCCTTTTAAGCCCCAAGAAACCACCCTCAGCACGGGAAAACCCTAACCTGTATAGTCGAAAATTTAACCGGGGTGGCAGGGGGCAAAATCGCGAGTGAGTCGGAATTTGCTGTGATGGTGAGTGATGGTTGCAAAGCCGAAACCGCCATCGCGCGCGCTCCAATTGGTGCTTGAATCGCACATGCTTGAATCAGGAGTCGTGCTTGAATCACGTGTGCTTGAACCGGTGCGGTGCCTGAATCGCGAGTGGTTGACTCACGCCATGCTCGAACCGCCCTTGCCGTTCGTGCTTGAATCGGAGTCGCACGGCACGTGAGCAGGCGACCTTGAAGTAGCGAAATGTGGCGAAGGCACATTTCACTTGCCTTCTCGAGCTCGGCTCGGGCAGCCACACTCATGTCCTTCACAAACTGCACCATAACAAAAACACACATCGAATGCACAGTGATGTCACTCTCTTCCGCTATGGACACTGGTGCCACTGGTCGAGCCTTCTCCTCCCATGTTCCGGCAGAGTTCCAACTGCAGCCAAGGCAAAGACTAAACATCAAAGCTAGAGAAGAGCAGATGATGTAGACACTGATGATACTGATGCATGCAAGACTTCCTGCCTGGAGCTCACAGAATCTGCCTTGGGCAGAGCCTGGCAAGGTATGACGGAAAAGAAGCTGACATGTTTGGTTAAATCCTCGGCAAAACGCGTGTGCAATTTCCACCTCGGCTGGCTGGTCTCCGTCAAGCTTCTGCGGACGGTTGTCCGGAAGAACGTGGGCATCATCAATATCCCGCTTCCAGTACCTGGGGGGGGAATAGATTCAAGTGACTCAATACAGGCAACGCCGGACGTTTTTTGATTCAGCTCCCGGCGTGTATCCAGACTTCTTTGCCGCTTCTTGGTCCTCCTCTTGCTGCTACTGTGTTCAAGGACTTTTAATGTGAAGGCCTTCCACTGTGCAAATAACCGACAGACTTCCACACCCGCTTCTTAAACCCCACCAGCGCCGAACCTTTGCATCGACTTTCGCAGGTTTCTTATGCCAGATCCGTAAGAGCCCTGAATATTCATGGAGTAGTGCCCTCAACGAGACTTTCCAGAGTCTCCAGTGACTCTAGTGCCTTGTCCACACTATGCTGTGGATTGTTTGGATTGTTTAGATTGTTTAGATTGTGTAGATTGTTTAGATTCTTGAAATGCACTGACAACATCTGACAACATATCGGCGCCTTGGCTGCCATCGTTCGGATGGGACCTCGGCTATGCTCTAAGCCGCTCTCAGAACCCAAAAAGCGAAAAACAGGAAGCTGCCTCTCGCTGAGACTAGCACCCACGCTGTCCCACCAGTGTGCAAATCTACCAAACGCAAAATGACAGATGGAGATTAATCACTACTGTGATCCTTGCAACTGGAGATGTTCAGAAATGCTCGCACGTGACTGGTGGCAAGCTCAGGTTCTCGGGCCTTCCAAGGTGTGCGCGTATGTGTATGTGTTCTGTTGTGAAGTTGTGATCCACGTTCATCGAGCCCAATGCTGCAGAGCTGGGCTGCAATGCCTTTTCTGCTTTGCTCAGAAGAACCTTTGCACGTGACAGCATCGACAAGGCCCTATGCAAACCACTGTTGGCCTTCCTTGCCTGGTCGACAAACCGCCTGCTTCCGGTGCCTGTCACAACAGCAATATGCATCGCTCGCGCAACTCATTGCACAAAAGACTGAGCTTGGTCTGGGATTCGGGCTTTCGAGGCAAAGGGGCCTGAGATAAACGCAAGTTTGCAAGGGCCTTGGAAGCCACGCTGAAAGGACTAGGCTTGACGAGACTGCAAGATCCGCTTTCCCATGTCGTGCATCTAAACATGGCGCTCGACAGCGTTCCACTCAAGCGCACCGTGGAAGCAATGGAACCATCGTTTCTGTGTGCCGCAGCAATATGGCGCACCAGTGAGCAGCATACAAGAACACTAACATCCACTAACTCAACCAAAGCACAACATCGGCAGCAGCTAATCACACGTAACAAAATCTGGGCGAGGCACAGCTTCCCGGAGCTGCTCAAAAAAGTGCTGCGACGCCCATGCCTGACAGAACTCGTGAGAATTTGTAAGAGACACTAGAGCCTGTGAGGGCCTTTTCTTGACAATTGCAAGTGCCCCTACAGTAGGTCTTGGGATCTGTTGACATGTGCCTCCTGATGATGGAGCCCCTCTCACATTGTCCCTTCCCGTCTCTCACATTTCCTCTGCTTTTCTTCGGGCCGCTCTTCAGCAGTTGTTGACGAGCCCGCTTCCCTTGGCTGCTCATTCTCTCTGTTCTTTCGTCTCCTTTGAGTGCGATGCAAATTTCAGACGCGAAGTGTTGCCGCCTCCGGGATTTCAGACATGTGCTTCGCAATAGATTTCGGAAGCCCAAATGGTCCCAATTATCGGGATTTTCCACGTTGCTCTGGTCAGACAAACGAACGAAAACCTCGGAATTTCCACGCAGGCAGCATGATGCCCCCTCACCAAAATGCAACTAAGACGCTCGGGCTCCCACATGCTCCCAGCTTAAGCGTCGTCTCGATAACCCACATTGACCCCTCTCTTCCACATTCTCTGACCTTTTCGCTCCAACCGTTGATGGTCCCGTACCTTTGCGCGCCTCACATCCCTCGCATCATCTCGCATCCCCTCCTCTCCTCATCGCAGTCGAACTACAACTGTCAGGAAAGTGTGAGGGAACAACATGCGCCCTCGAATTGTGCCATCAGTTCCGTCACGGGGGGCATGCACATGGCACAACATTAAAATCGTTTGCCGGTCCTCCTACAGAGCCCCGAACCGGTGTCTGTGCGAATGTGAAACCCGGCACCTGGGGCACACGACTTTTCGAGACAACGTACATTGAACTCCCGCTCTCTCGCACCCTCAACCCTCAACCCTCAACCCTCAACCCTCAACCCTCAACCTTAACCCTATACCCTAGCCCATCCTAGCCCTAAACCCTTCTCTCCCTCTCCCTAAACCCTCTTCTCTCCCTGTCCCTACCCCTGGAACCCCTTGCTGTGCGCACCTCCAAGGCAACACCAGAGTTGGGAGCCTTGTCTTCCTGCACAGGCAAGAAGGACATCCTGCTCTACCTCTCGCAGTCTCTAGGCGGCATCCGTGACCAGGCAAGTTTCCAGGCCCGTGCACCTTCATGATGGTATGTGCTTTCACTGAGCAACAACATATCTAAGCGTTCTCCAGTGTCAAAAAGCAGCTCATGCTCCAGATGCTTGCAAGGTCGACCCACAAGCATGCATCAAGGGAGTGAAATCTACTGCAAACTCCCAACATCACGGTATCATAAGAACCGCGGAGAATATGTCTAAGGCTGCTGAATGATTAGGGAAACCATCCAAGATCCCTCCAAAAAACCCGCCACATTGAAACTGAGGAACAAGTTATCTTCCGCTTGTGCTACCAGCTTATGTGGGAGCTTAGCATCCAAGATCCCTGCATCTTGCAATCCCATGCAGCAAAAATGAACCGATGCCTGTGCATGACGCCTGAGGGAGGCCACAGTAGGCTGCCTGCCTTGCAGATAGGGGCACCGGTTGTTTCAACGTGTATGTTGCCTTCCTTCTGTTGAAGAGTTCTGGTAACGGCTTGATGGTATCACATGGAGGGAGTGTTCTATGAGTATATCGTCACACATCACTGGACAGAACAGCATAACAACTTGCATCGTCAAGTGCAACATCGAGGTAGAACCGTCCACACGAAAGCTCAGAAAGCACTACAGTCTCTGTACATCTTCCGAATCAACAGCGACAATTGAAGTGTCACGCAAACAACTTGCTAAATGTGGTGGGCAAACAGCGAGCAAGAAAGCTTCAGCGATCGCTGCAAGAATCGGTTTGGGTGGACCTCGACTGAATCTGTCGTGACCAGCAGAATCGAAAAGGTCGCACCTAGCTTGCCGAAGCTTCTCCATGATTCGAACGCACTGCAAGAACTACATGTTGAGCCACTGACAGCCTCACGCGCAAAGTCGGCACATCCTTACAAGCGCTGGACTTTTTGAAGCCCGTCAAATTCGCCTCGGCTTCCTGCCGGAGAAGCGTCTGGAACAAGCAGACCCGGATCGGGCCTCCTTCCCCCTAACCCAACCCTTCCCCCATGCCAAATTTTCTGACGCCACCCCCCCCCCCCCCGCCCTGTGGGACCCCCCCCAATCCCTTGGAGGAGCTGCAAACCGATGCCGTGGAGGGTCCCGCTTGTCGGTGGCTCCTACAGGGGAGTGCCTCAAAAACCCCCCGCCCCCCCCCCCCCCCCCCCCCCCCCCCCCCCCCCCCCCCCCCCCCCGACCCCACCCTCTGCCCTTCCTCCCTTTTTTTGCGAAACCCTCTTTCCTCCTTTCCTGTCCTGGGGCCCGGCTGCCGAGGCGGCGCGCGCAAGCGTTTACAATTACAAAGCAGAAGCTGGCCTCTGATGTAGCCGATCTTGGCGTCAAGTGCACTGAAGTACAAAAAATCGAATGAACTGGATTGGATGAGGAGCGACGGCTACTTCATATCCTGGCCCCACACTGGCCGGACTTGGCAGCAAGGAGAGCTGTCACAAATGCCTTTCACGTTAGACTCCACATGACGGAACTTGAGCCCGTCGGTACTGTATTCTTATGTCACGGAAATGTCACACGGCCTCTTTTTCCAATCGACCTCCAGGAGCTCGAACCTCAGATCACACCACCAGATGGGCACCAAACAAGCATGAAAACTCATCCAATTCACATGGAGCTCCAGAACACACACTTCCATTCAAAGTGGGGCGGCACCACAAAAGCGTCTCGCACTCGAATGCTGATGCTGAGCATACTCTGAGCATACTCTGAACACATGCTGCTGCTGAGAGTTGGTCCGAAGCAGTTGCTATTGCGCGAGCACCTTCTGGACCTGAGCCCGACTCTGCTGATGCACTCAACTGTCGGGTTGGACAGAATCTGAACAACCTGCAGTATCCTGCAATAGGCTTCCTTTTCCGCTTTTGTGTCCTGATGCTCTCTGCAACAAGACATATGGGTATCGCCTCCGTGATGCAAACAAGACACGGGGTCATCTACTGTTCTACATTGCCTCGCATATTGTGAATGCTAGCCAGATCTACAATCGACTAGCATCGCAGGCCAATAGCACACCACGCCGACACCGCGCGGCAAGACGACCATTGTCCCGCGGTGCTCACGCAAGCAGGAGCGTAGCGTCAGGCCTGTCAGTGCCGGCCTGACATCTTCAACAGTTTTGCCATTTGCGTTGTGATCGGCAACAGTGAGACAGCTTCTAAACATCTAAGCATCGGGCAATACCGTTGTTGATGAGATTTCGCAAAGCTGGATTCTCCAGAGCGGCTGCAACTCGTTCTTTATCTGCAAGCCTTGACTTCGCACTGAGCCATAAGTGCATTCTGTTTACCTGGTAGCCCTTGATTATGTGTGTGGAAGAAACATGTCCTGATGCCATCCAGTCACTGTTTGTTCACCTGTGCCGTCACTTGCAATTGCGAAGTCATAGCCCCCAACCCTCCCGAGTCGGGTCCTGGTCTTCAGAGTTGTGCGTTCCAGGTGTGATTTCCACATCAATCTTGTATCCTCAGCAAGGACCGGAGCTCGTACCCATTGCGCGTCACATGTTCTCAACCAGGACAAATTCAAGTTCAAGTGTCGACGAGGAAGTGAACGCAGAAGCTTGGCCTGTCGTTTCCCATGCGTAAGTTAAGCTGGCGCCGATTTAGAGATTCCCGCAAAAGAGCAAAACCCAAAGCAGAGAAAGAATACACATTGTCCAAGGAACTTCGCAAGACAATATCAAGCAGCGGTCATGACATGATAAGGTTCCCAACGCCGGAGCGCAGCAACATTGCGAAAGGGAAACACATGGAAGTACGGTGTGCATTTGCATAAGAATCTAAGAACCTGTGCGGCCTCAAAACCGTCCCGGCAGTCTAGATTCCAGTCCAACAAGCGCGATTTCCGACTTTCCCAATTCGCCAGTTTGCCTTGACACCGCAGTAAAAGCTCAAAGCTTGGTTGTGGCAAGTTTTTTCTGGACTGCACGAGGCAAATAATGGCCAATAATGGCCAGTATATCACCATAGCAGATTGCGTTGAGAGCCGGGTTTTTGCTCTCTATATTTTGTTGTGCACATTTGTTGCTGTAAGGTTGAGGTTAGGTATGTCGGACTTATGTGCTAGGGTTTTGGGCCTTACCGGTTCAGGGAATGTGGTTCATGGTTTAGGGTTTGGGCTCTCCATCCTTCTTCTTCGCCCTCTTTCTTTCAGATTTCTCTTGTCAGGTTTAGGGCAGGGCATGCCCCTGAAGCGACACGGTCTCGACATGACTCTGCTTGGGCTTAGGGCTTTTCCTGCACCCGCAGAAAGGTTCCCGTTTACAACGTTGAGGCCTAAGGTGGACGAAGTCTCCAAAGCCGTTGCCAAAATGTTCGTGAAGCGTTCACGAAGCGTCTGCGAAGAATTGCGAGTCCCAGAGCGCGGCGGCTGCGGTTGCGGAACTTTGAGTTTGGGCATTGCTTGGCGAGGGATGCAGGGGCAGCTGCAGTTGTGGAAGCCTGCGCTGAGTGGAAACCTGCGTCTGAGCGAAGGATGCGCCGGCGGCTGAAGTTGCTACTCCCCGCGTTTGGCCGGCGGCTGTAGGGGTGGAAGCTTGCGTGCGAGTACTGTTTAAGTACTCAGTTTTTCGTGTTGGCAGATGGCCTGCCGAGCTTAGGGGCAATCAGAGCCAAGCCTGTCGGGTAGAGGGCCCTCAAAGGATGATAAAGAAAACGTTTATCAACTTCGTTCTTGTGTCCTTGCCTTCTTTCTTTCATGGTCCCTCTGTTTCCAGAGACCAAGACGAAAAGCCGAAAATGAATAAGCAAGAAAAACACGGTCTAAGCTTGTTGACTTTGAGTGCAGCACTGCCTTGATGGTGAGGCCTATCAAAGTCGCCACACTGCAAGTTGGGACGGTTGGTGTGAAGCGCACCTCAGAGCTTGACCAGGATTGAGCCGACCTCTTGAATCTCTTGACAGCAAAATTCCCACGGCTCATGCTTCCAAGACTCAAAGACCGTATTGGTCTTGTCGTCAACCCAGACATGGCCAGACTCAACCACCCTGGCATTGGCAGTGGCTAGAAAAGGCCAGAAAGAACCAGCGTCATGACGATTGATGACGTGTGGGAGTGCAGATTGTACCCTTTTGATTAAGTTGAGGCTAAAACTCACATGATCCCGTAGACGTCAAGTGGCTTCAACTGCTCCAGGGACAGGTTTGGATGCTCGGGATCTGTCAAGTGCCGCAAGCTCTCGAAGATCTCCTGAAGAACGCAACAAATCACGAGGGGAGTTTACATCTCTTGCCGTTCTATTTATAGCAACCATGCATCAGGATGCAAGCGAATGCCTAAAGGGCCCAAACTCATATTGCAAGCAGAACCCCTAGAGCGCCGGAGCTCATCAGAAAACACGCGGGACTATTGGTGGACAATCTTCTCCTGTGGGGTCAACTCATCTTGCAAGTCTGTGATTTCCAAAAGCTCCTGCATGTTGATGCACAGGCCGAATGTACACCGCAACCAGCACAGAATTGTCCGATCTGACCACAATAGATGTCCTGCAGCGACCTGAATTGGATTGTCTGTCCGCTTCCGTACACGACGGGATTGGGGTTGTCCTCCGCACTCCTTACGTTGCACGCTTGGAGAGGAGAAAGGAGGGGATAGGGCCTAAAGGGAAGTGTAACCCGCTGACCACACCTGGTGCCTTTTGCGTCTGCAGCAGAACAAACGTCAGAACTGCTCATGGAAAACACGCGTGTGAAACACTGCAAGTCAATACTCAGTCAAGTTCGATGAGGCACTTGCACTTTGTAGCATTGAGGCAAGCCAGAGCTTTAATGATACGCTCTTTGGTTTCAGACAGGTTGTTTCCGCGCAAATCAACGTGTAGCCGTTGGGAGGTCAGACAGCGAGATGCATGAGACTCCAGCATATCTGCCAGACGTAAAGCCACCGCATCACCAAGCCGACAGTGCGCCAAATCAATGTGCGCTTGCTGCACTTGCTGCGCAGCCAGAACTGCACCAAGCAACTTCGGGGCGCTCTCACCAATGAGATTGATGTCCATGTGCAAGGCGACATCAACAAGAGAAGACCCAAGTGCCTGTGACAAATCATCTGCACCTCTGTTTGAGATCTTGTTGAAGCTGAGACGCAGCGCGAGATGCTGAAGTCGCAAGACGGCTAAGGATCTTGCCAACGCTTGCACACCGGCATCCCCAAGCCCGCAATGTCGCAAATCGAGGGTCAAACTGGTTAGTCTGTGTGTGTAAAGGCTGTTAACTAGCTGACAAATGCTCCGAGACAGATCGGTCTGGTATGCCAAACCAAGGGAGAAGATTTGTACATTCTGAAAGCTGGCTAAGGCCTTCTGAATTGAATCCACTGAATCCTCCTCCACCAGGACATCGCGCCTGAATCTTACAGCAAATGCATCGAGAAACTTGAGCTGGTCTCGTTGGATCCTGGATGATGCACATAGGAAAGAGACATCAACGGTTTCCAGCAAAGTCAAAAGCTGGCGCAGAAGCTCGGGAGACGAAACGGCCGACATGCTCGAGGATCATGCTTGATGAACAACAACAGTTCCGCCAAGATCAATCTGTCTTACAGAGTGATGCGCGCTTAGCTCTCGAAATGATAGTGATATGTCTACACAAAAGCTGTATGCGCTCTACGGTATTGTTGCCGTGCAAGTGATCAGGATCCATCAGGAGCCCATTGCAAATGCTGCAGAACTCGACGCTTGTTCTCTTTTCGATACACACTTGCACTCATTCTGTAGCACCCCCCTTCATTCCATGGCACAAAATGATGATCAAAAGCTCGTCTTACTTCTACACAGATTTGGCGAAGGATACTGTACGAACATCACAGGGTCAGCTTCCTGGACAAACCCTCAAACGGCTTGTCAGCTTGCCCATAACTTTGGCAATGTGTGAACAGTTCGGGGAGGGAAACGCTGTGAAACAGCGTGAAACCCTGTAAATCACAAGGATGTTAGACATGTTGAAGAGCACAGAAATGCCCATCCCAGTTTACTGCATCATTGCACAAGTACGAACGTTGGTATGAATTTCAGTGCTGCCAGGCAACATTCCTGCAGAACCACTTCTGCGAGTCCACAACTCGCCAGACAAGCAAATGGCTCAGATCGGCGGAAGTTCTGCTTGCTGTTTGTGGAACCTCCTCTGATGCTAGACGAGATTTGTTTTTATTCTTCGGTCCATAGTCCTCCTCTGTGCAGGATTGTTGTCACGTTGATGGTCTCAGGGCAAAATCTGCAAGCCGGGCAGAAACGACTGTAGCTCAGAGCATGAAGCACCGCGCGCCAGCAACTGATCGAAACAAATCAAATAACATGTCCTTGCTTGGTGGGCGCAGCTCGTACCCCAGAACTTGACAAGAGGACCGAGCAGCTTTGACAAACAGGAATGCACGATTGGGTAACATGTCTGCAGACAAGTGATGCCAGTGATCGCAAAGCTCGTGACACTCCGCCAACACATCGGAGCAGAGAAGGCGAATAACCTGCACCAAACACTCTGCTGCATGCAGGGAGGATGCTTACTGAACAACACGTGCGGTCATGATACGTCTTCCTGCCGCAAAAGGACAACCTAGCAAACAGCGTAACGCTGTGTGACGCAGCTGTCTAATGAGTCCAAAGCTCTAGGAAAGTTAGCTCCATATCATATGGACGTTGCTGCAATGTGGCCTTGCCAGCTCCCAGATAGCCTCGACCACGCCGATCCAGATGAAAGAAAAGTTCCTGCGATGCAGGGTCAACAAAAACATGTCGTACTAAAAAACGAAGCAAAGACAACTTTTTGCAAGGGGGCCCACATGACACGCGAATTGGCAAGCTTTGTGACGATCCTCTGCTTGTTGTTCATCCCAATGCTCCAACATCAGGCAGCTTACACACTGAACGTGCACATAACACATAGAGCTTGCCTTGCAACAGGTACAAGGAGCCAACTACCACAACCATACCAGAATTGTCACTCGGAACCAGTCTGCGAGCAACGAAGATGCCAGCCATTGAAGATGTAAGATGGACAATTCCACCCAATTTAACAAACTTCAACATTGCGTTTGGTTGCGGAAATTGGCCACCGACCCATGCAGAGGCTGCTAATCCCATTCATTGCCCACAATCCGAAACAGACAATGAACATTTACCATCTGTGTGCAAACCTTTCAACATCCAGCTAAACACAAATTAGGCAACGCTTTGATTTCCAGATGTTTCCAAATCCCAGGTTGGCAACTGTCGACATTTTCTTGAAGAGGAAATCGACTTGCCTGTCTTTCGAACAATTTTGGTGAAGGCGCCGGGCACGCATGTCAAAATATCTGCTGGTCTTCGTGGTTGTGGCAGTGTGTGGCCAATGCATTTGCCCGGTGAGCTTGTAACCTCAGTCTTTGCAGCCAGTACATTGTGATAGTGCAAAATTTCAAAAACCATGGGTTCTAAATATCTCACACACAGATCTATTTCACGCACATGCTTGTTTCTGCAAAACATGTTTTGGCAGGTAATGTGTTATTGCAAACCCCTCCGAAATACAAGTAATGACAAATCCAATTCCACATACAACCTATTCCGCCATGAATACTTATAAATTCTACATTGCAATGGTCAAAAATATTCCGCAACAGATTTCGAATCAAGAATCGGAGAGTCCACACCGCCACAGGCATCCACAGCCACCGCCTCTAACAAGACCCTCCACTCTGGGTTGTTTGTTTGCTGTTTTGCTTTGTTTTACATGTGTGCGTGTGTGCTCTGGGTTGTTTGTTTGCTGTTGCTTTATTTACATATGTGTGTGTGAGTGTTGGAGGGGGGGGGGTGGGTGGAGGGTGGGCGCGCGGGGGATTAGGGTTCAGAGATTGGGGTTTAGGCCTGAAGCACTGGAGCCCAGAACGGCCCCTTGCTGAACCGTGTACGAAACCGTAGAAAAACCGAACCAGAAAAGGTTCCTTTGTTCAAGCCCCTACGCATAAGAACTGTGGGAACATTCCGACATCCCACGTTAATCTTCCCTTCATGCGGGCAACCAAGGATGTCATCGCAACCTTTATGCTTTTTCGGGCGAAGTTGATAGGAATTCAGTACGAAGTAGAATGGAAACCCCGGAGACGCAGCTGATAGGAAAAGGAGTCTAACGACGCTACCCTAAAGAGTTTGCCACAACAAGGAAACAAGATATAATATCTCCCGATCTCTACCAAAACCCAGAAATCCCGCGCTCGGAAAGCCACAGCTGCTAGTCCGAAAATGATCAAAGGCTTTGTTACTCAACTTTGAACTGTTAAAGCCCGGACCACAGAACCTGCAACCTTTGATGATTTCGGGCACGCAGACAGAGGATTCAATAGGCATTCAGTAGCAACCGGAATGCTCCTGACTGCAACATGAAGAAAGCTGCCCAGAAAACAGCTCCAAAAACGAAGCCGGAAACCGCGCATTTTGGACGCCAATCGGGCACAGTACCGCAAAGCATTAATGGTGCTGTAGCATCCAAGATGCTTGCACGGACCTTGCTGTGACATTGCCGGGCGTTGCAGAAGCCCTTCTCGCAGACATTTGGGCCCCTCGTGTTGAAGCATGTTGAAGCCGGACGGTTGACCGTTTCGCGGTACGAAAAGCAAGCCCACCCATATGGCAAGCCCACTCCGCGCTTTACAGACCACACACCAACGCACCGGCTGGGCAGGCGCTTGGACTACAACGCTACAACTACACGAAAAAGTGGTCCAGCGGGGCCCTCCCCTTCCCTTAATTAGCCTTGTATAACCCAAACGGGGTGTACGGTCCCACGGTCCCACGCAGAAGAATGGAGCGATTTAGCGGGTCCCACCGAAACCCAGCGCGGTCCCCCACCGAAACCAGGCACGGTCCCACGCAGAAGAACGCGGGCCTCCCCGAAACCCAGTTCGGTCCCACGCAGAAGAACGCGGGTCCGCCGAAAGCCGGCACGGTCCCACGCAGAAGACGGGTTTTACCAGGTACGGTCCCACGCAGAAGAACAAGAACGCGGGCCCCGCCGAATTTTAGTGCATTCCCACGCAGAAGAACGCGGGTCCCACCGAAACCCAGTGTGCTCTCGTGCAGAAGAACGCGGGCGCCACGTGGTTTCATAGAAGCTTAGCGCTTTTGAGAAGAAAAACGCTATGAGTGACGTGCCAAGTGTCCGCGCTGCCGAACAGCTAACTCATCTCTTAAGCTGGTTTAGGTTGCTTAAAAGCACGATTTCCGGGGCCAGGTTTGCAAGCCGGATTCCGGTCGCAGAGTGAGCTTCAGCGTGATGGGCCCTGAATGTGCCTGGATCAGCTTTTTGGGCCGCCGAGCGGGCCGGAAACCCGACGACCAAAATGGGACGAAAACTGGTCGCCGGGGTGGAGACAAAGCAGCCCGCCAAAGAAACAAATACTTGGAGCCAAAAGCACGACCCCAAAAACGAAAATTCTGCAGTTCCAAAACTGCGCCCACGGCGCGGGCCGCAAAATTCTGTGCCCTGGCTGCTGGCATGAAGAAAGCTGCCCAGAAAACAGACCGTGTGCTTCTTTCCTAAACTTGAAGCCCCATTATGAGTGTTACCGCTGTGAGGAAGATCCCAAGCTTTCCTGTAGAATAAGTGATTGAATGTACTACGAAGAGAACACATTATTATTGAATTATAAGTGAACGCGTGAAACAAGAGAGCGCATGAATTCAATAATAAGGTGAGAACGAAGTGAGACCGCCAAGATCAGAGATTCGCGAGTCAAAGGCCCTAATAATGAGTCTCAGAGTGTGAATCATAAGCTCTTAGAACCAGACAAGATTAGTGGTTACGTTCTCTTCACAAGTTCATGCATTTATTCGCTTAGTTTTATAAGGAGTGAAAGAACGTAGTGAATGAAAGACGCACGAAAACCAAGCAAAGAAACGAAAATAAGATTAAAAGGGCCAGTGAATATTATAATAAGGCCCTTTAATATTAATAGAAAGAAGAGAGAAAAAGGATTAGGAAATTTATTAATGAAATCCTCTTTTCTACAGCTTTTTTCATTCATTTTACTCGCTTCTAATAAGTTCTAGCGAATGAATAACAAATGAGCGCAATGAATACAACTTTCTAAATTACAGAAATTCATTATTAAATTTACAAGAAAGCCGTTATGAATAGAATTACAAGAAAGCGCATGAAATGCAATTAAAATGAAGAAAAGTGCATTTAATGTAGAAATTTGAGAATGAAATGCTGCGCGACAATAAAATATAATTGGCGTCCGTGAATTCCTCGCGTCCACAAAACCAGCTAATAATACGGTTTCTATAGGTGAACGAATACACCATTAAAATAGGGGCTTTGCCAACATAATATCGTTCATGTGCACAATCATTCATTGACTTTCAAGGGTCTTTTCGTACACCCTTACAAATAGTGATTGAAGAGCGTATGAACTTAATAATCCAAATAAAGGGTGCATGTGCAATAGAATTCCTGGTATTTTATATTAAAATGCTGCAGGAATTGAATGAAGGGGGCAGTGAAGGCTTTCCTCACGCACTCATTACAATATAATATTTCATGCGTTCGTGTATTTCGTTCCTTATTAGCTTATTATCTTCACATTAAATAAATTAGATAAAAGCCCCGTTAAAACCCTTTGTAAACCTAATGAATGAAGTCTTTTGCATAAAGAATATTATTAAGACGGCCCGAGGAAAAGGGCATAAAATAGATAAAATACGGGCCGTTCATATCTTCACTTAATATACTAAATTAGCCCCTTTACCACCTTTAATAATATTACAACTAGTGAATGAAGGTGGTAAGAAGTGAACTTGTGAACGACGCACGCACCGCAGTGAACGAAGAAAAGAAAAAACTGTAATTTTATTAGTAATTGTACGGGCGCTACAAAATAAGAAAGAGAAGAAAGCGCCCCACTTCGTTCACGTATTAATAAAGTTCATGCACTCGCAAGCTCACTTATAACTTCATTAATACTGTTCTCTTCGTACTAATAATAATAAGGAGTGAGTGTACGAACGAATCCCCTTTGTAATAATATAATTGCGTCGTAATGAAAGCACGGACGCAATAATAGTATTAAAAAGGGGGCACGAATGAGGGAGATGAAAAGGGCCCCTTTAAAGGACTTATTATTTGGCCCTTTTCACCCTCATTCTCCCATCCTGGCTGTTACCTTCACGACTCAACAGATTAACTCCTAGAGACAGAGGTTAGGGTGTCAAGATACTGGAAAAGGAACTAAAAGCACTAGGAAAGGAACCACCATGAGCCTCATTCGCCCGTTCTTGGTGTCCGTACGCATGAAACGCAAAACAAAGTGAATGCAGCATATTTTGTATTACTAATGAAATCTCATTTACAATCATATCCTTGTCCTTTGATCATAAATTATTTTTGGAATATTGGTTTTTTATTAGGAATTACTATTTTATTACAAATTATTACAGGAATCTTCTTAGGTTTACATTATACATCAGATATTAATTCAGCATATTTTTCTCTTTTCTTTTTAATTAGAGAAATATATTATGGATGGTGTTTACGTTATCTTCATTCTAATGGTGTATCATTTGTCTTTCTTTTTATATTTCTTCATCTTGGAAGAGCTATATCTTATGCTTCATATTTTTATAATCCAAATACTTGGTTTTCTGGAATTATTATTTACTTCTTCTTAATGGGAACCCATTATCTCCATTTCCATCTTTAATAGAATGGCTTTGTGGAGGACATTATATTTACAATCCAACATTAAAGAGGTTCTTTGTCTTTCATTTTCTATTTCCATTTCCTCCAAAAACGAAGCCGGAAACCGCGCATTTTGGACGCCAATCGGGCACATTACCGCAAAGCATTAATGGCGCTGTAGCATCCAAGATGTTTGCACGGACCTTGCTGTGACATTGCCGGGCGTTGCAGAAGCCCTTCTTGCAGACAATTCGATCATGCTACTTGCCTGATGGCATCCTTGCGATACTGTGCCTGGATCAGCTTTTTGGGCCCGCCGAGCGGGCCGGAAACCCGACCACCAAAATGGGACGAAAACTGGTCGCCGGGGCGGGAAGACAAAGCAGCCCGCCAAATAAACAAATACGTGGAGCCAAAAGCACGACCCCAATAACGAAAATTCTGGTGGAGTTCCGAAACTGCGCCCACGGCGCGGGCCGCAAAATTCTGTGCCCTGGCTGCTGCTGGCATGAAGAAATGCCCAGAAAACAACTCCAAAAACGAAGCCGGAAACCGCGCATTTTGGACGCCAATCGGGCACATTACCGCAAAGCATTAATGGCGCTGTAGCATCCAAGATGTTTGCACGGACCTTGCTGCAACATTGCCGGGCATTGCAGGAATAACGCGCGGTTCTGGTGGTGGCGGCGCTTGCCTGCACAGGTGAATGGCCGCAGCTCCTGCCTCTGCGAGAGGCTTGCCTGCGGTGAGCGTTTGCCGGGCCTGCACTGGGCTTGCCTTCAACCCTAAGCCCTAAACCCTAAACCCCAAACGCTAAACCCAAAACCCTTAATCCAAAAACCCTTAACCCAAAACCCTTAACCCAAAACTCTCAACCGAAACCTTCCAAAACCCTTAACCCAAAACCCTTAACCGAAACCTTGAACCAGCCCAGAGACCCTTAGAAGCCTTACTGCCCTTCACTCTTAGCCCAGAGACCCTTAGAGGCCCTTAGAGGCCTTTCACTGCCCTTCACTGCCCTTAGCCCAGAGAACCTTAGAACTGCCCTTCACAGCCCTTAGCCCAAAAACTCTTGCCCTACTACCCTTAGCCCACTTAGAGGCCCTTTACCTAATAGAAGCACAGTTTTTCGAAACTTCTTCTCGAAGCTTCGAAAGCTGCTTCTCTGTGCTAAAAATTACAAAACCCCCCGTTGCTTTTCTATGCAAAAAATCTTGAGAAGCACGGCTTCTCCAAACTCCACTGCTTCTCTGTGCAAAACTTTCCAAAAAGTCCCCAAAAACCAGTTTTTCAATTTGGCATCACCGCAGCTCGCTCTAACCCCAAAACTTTGACTCCAAAGACCCAAAACTCTGACTCAAACCCCGAAATTAACCCCCAAAACTTGAAAATCTAACTAAAAATAACTTTAACCAACCTCTCCAATCCAAAACTCCAATCCAAAACTCCAAACCCTGAAACTAACCCAAACCTCTAATCCCAAAACTCCAACTCCAAAAAAGCCCAAAAATAACTCCAAACCCCAAAAGCTTAACTCCAAAACTCACCACTTCAACCAAAAACTCTAACTTCAAAACTCTAAAACTCATTTCAACACCTCCAAGCTTTCCCAAAGTCCAACTTGAAACATGATTCGAGACTTTGTTCTCAAAGCTTGGAGCTTGATTGAAATCTCTGAATTTTGCGTGTCTTTCAAGTTTTGGTTCTGTTTGATTTTGGTACTTTTGGAAAATCTGTTTAGAACAGAAAATCAAATTCTTGGCAGAACAAAAGATGTTGGCTGGGAACTGCGTCAGACCAAAAGTGTTTAATCCGGGTAACGTGCATTGCAAAAGCCCTTCTTGCAGACAGCTACTTGGAAAGCTTCTTGCGACGCTCTTTGGCCCCTTGTTAAAGCTGGACGGTTGACCGTTTAGCGGTACAAAGGGCATTCCCCAGTATGAAGCCCACTCCGGGCTTTGCAGACCACAAACCACGCACCGGCTGAACTTGGACTGCAACGCTGCAAGGTTTCTTGGAAGAGATACACTGCACAAACAGTATGTTTGGAAGCTTCTTGAAAAGCTGTCTTGGACGAGAAAAAAGAAGGTTACTTCTGTAGCTGTCCTAACATTTAGCACGTAGTCTGAAGTCTGGCAAGAAGGCTCTTAGCAGAGAAGCAGTTGTATTAGACTGCAGGCTGTGGTTTGCTGCACAGCAGAAAGACCTGGAACGTTAACTCTGCAAAGAAGAAAGAATCTGAAGTCCGTAGCTAAAGTTAGCCAAAGGCAGCACAGCTTTCCATGGAAAAGCCTGGAGTTCTTGGTGTGAGACTTTGTTGCTGGGTTTTTACAGCAATGCTTGCTTGTTCCTTCCTTTGGATGCTGGTACTTTGCTCAGCATGCAAGATACTGTGGAGGTCACCACATAGGGCCTCGGGTTTTCTGCCAGTTTCGGGCATCTACTTTCAGGACCTTCGAGTCGAGCAAGATTGCATTGGCAAGATTGCCCAAGTCCGAATGTAGACCGACATGTACACATTTTTGAGCCTCCAGCTAGCAGTTCCCACGACTCCTTTTGCGCCGACACAGACAGGTTTCCTTCAGTCAAGCTTCTGCGGATAGGCAGAAACAGAGAACAACAAATCCTTGGCTGCAGCACGCCCTCTTCGGCATCTTTGCTTCCCACCTGACCGACAATTCTGAGGCTGCAGCACAGCCTCCCCGGAATCTTTGCTTCCCTTTTTTTTTTTTGAAGCTAGCTCGTTTACCGCATCAGCAGCACAGTGAGTCTGTCTCCAAGCCGATTCGCTCGTAGTGACGGGTGAAACACTCTCCATGGAATAACACAGCAGCCGAAATCTCTGCTTCCCACCAGACCCAAAATTCTGAGGCTGCAGCCTCACCCAAAAGAATAACGGCAGCGCGGTCCCCCGCGCGCGGGCACGCGTCCAGCCCCCTCCTCGGAGTTTTTCCTTGCTCACCAAACACAACCGCGTACTTTTGCGGCTTTCAGGCAAAATCCAGGGGTCGATATAGACCGACTACGCCTGCCAGGTTCATTTGCACCGACCGGCTACTTTGGTGTTCATTCCGTGCCGACACAGACCGGATACTTTCAGCAAGGCTTCTGCACATAGGCAGAAGCCTTAGGGGCAGCTTCTCAGCCTCCCCCAAAAAATCTTGGTTGCAGCGTGGCCTCCCCGCGGTCTTTGCTTCCCACGAAAAATCTGAGGTTGCAGCACAGCCTTACTGGGGGCTTTCCTCCAGTGCTGACACAGACTGGCCACTTTGGTGTTCCTTCTGCGCCGATACAGACCAGACACTTTCAGGAAGTCTTCTGCAGGTAAGCAGAAGGTGTGAGTTGCAGCTTCTGAGGGCAGCCTGACCCGAAACACGCTTGGTCGCAGAACGGGGCCACCCAAACTGAAAACAGAAGACATGATCTTGAGGCTTTCAGGGCAGGGGTCCCGTCCTGCGGTCGGGCAAAAGCGACTTTTTGCACGCTCACGGCTTGTACAGAGGCACATCGCAATCGATGCATATCGAATTTCCACGAAGCCATTCCTGGTCTTCCGGACTGCAATCTTGCAGCTCTGTGCGCCAGGAGTTAGAGGTAATCATGGCCACACCATACACGAAGACCGAGTAGCTGTACATGTTCGTGGAGCTATGGGCCAAAGTGACTTCCTCGACAGGGCCCTGGAAAAGCTTTCTGTGGGCCAAAACCATCTGGCAGCAGGCCTCGTCGAAAAGGATTGCTTTGTGGCGAAGTGGGTCGTACTCACGCAAGTCCGGATGAAGGACGCCGGAGCAGTTGAGCTCCAGAGTGGCATCATGCCCAAACAAGCCACGGCCATAAATAGTCTTTCCCAATCTTGTAGGGCCTGTCAAGACAAGAAACTTGCGCCGAAACATTGGCCGTCTGAATTGTGGCAGAAAATCGGACTCCACCTGCTGTACTCGAATGGGGTCTCTCATCAAGGGCTGCAAGTCACGCAAGGCAGCTGCCTGTCGTTCAGCCACAGCATCGGCACGAACACACTGGGTGTGAAATTTCACATTCTCCAGGTACGCCCGGACGTGTTTTTTGCACTTCACATATTCTTTCTCGGCCGTCTCTTTGGTGATCTTGCAGCTTTGCCACAGAGAAGTCACCCATTCGGGCGACACCCCAAAGCATGTGTAGCACGCGGCCGTGGTTGTCATGTAAATTGCACCGATCTTGGGGCATTGCAGATAGTAGTGTCCCTGATCCCAGGCCTTGCGACAGGATCTCCCGCGAGCCTGCGCACAGTCCACAGACATGTGGGGCGGCGCCCCACGAAAGACGACATCACCTTTGCCCATGGACACACTTTTTCTGCTGTCCCACATCAGATGCAAGTGCACAGCCGCCTGCTTCCGCTCAAGACTCACTTGGCTGTGGAGCTCCAAGGCAGCTGTGGCGCGATCCAAGTGAAAGCGACGCTGCAAGTCCTTCACAAAGTCCTGAAAGTCAGACCACAAACGCAGGACCTCTGCATTTGCACGTAGCAATTGGCAGACCTCATCAATTGATGGCTTCTGGTCCGTCAAAAGCAAGGTGATAGAAGCATCCTCAATCTTCGACCAAGACCCACTGTAGCGAAACATGGTGCCGCATCCACGATATGACAACAACACGGGTTCCTGGACGATGGGTGTTTCTATCGTCCAGCTTGCCAGGAGGGAGCGGGCCGCTGCTCGCAAGTTCTGCGGGACCTGGTCTCGCATACCTTCCAAAACGGCGCTTTTGTCCGGTTTGCTGCTGAATTCCACCCTCAGCCGCTGCCGTTGCTCATGTCCACGCAGATTCCGAGCTGTCATTTGTTGCGCTACCCACCTGTCCCGGATGAAAGTCTGCAATGCGTTTCGGGTGTCCCTTGTGTTGAGGCCTTCAATCGGAGCTTGCTTGCCACACAGCCGTCGCCTCTTGTTGGGCTCCATGGCTCAAGGCTTGCAAAATGCAAGGCCTGAATTACTAATTTTGCTGGTTGCACGTTGGCAGTGCAAAGGAATTGTTGCTTGTAACGTTCGGCGGTGAGAGCGGTGAGGTTTAGGACTGCGCTGCGGCTCTTCGGTCCTGAGCCTCTTGGGGCAGCGGGGGCTCTGAGCAGTGAGGGCGGGGCTGCTCATGTGGGCTGCGCTGAATAAGCTCTACTTCAGCCATCACACGCGGACACACTTTTGGCAGCAAGTAGCTGGGCAGGGCCCAGCCTGCCTATCGTCACTCGACCCCAGGCCGCTGCTTCAAGGACTCCAATTGGAGAAGCACACATGGGTGCAACAGCTCCTCCTCCGCAGCAGCTCCGCTGCACCATCAGTTCACCCGGAGCGGGCGGGACTTTGATAAACTATCGGCTGTACTGATCGGCAGCCGGCAGAACAAACAAGTAAGCCAAAGCAACACGCTGACACTTCCCGTGACACGCAGTACTGATCGTACCACAGAACCCACCAGGAACGCAGCAGGACCCTTCTCTGAGCACCTTCCCAGGGGCAAAAGGGGCTGAAAGGACCACGCAGGACCTAGCTGAACGCCAGACTGCAATGTGGGGAGGGCGGTCCTGCAAAACCGTGGTGGGAGGATAGAATCATTAAAGCTCAAAACGTGACGAAATTGTCTCAAACGCCCCTCACTGGTTGCGAAGAACGGAGAATTATCGCGTTTGCGCTGCGCGCTGCATCCTAAGGTGAAACGCCGTCTCTGAAAGGCCTAAACTCCATGTAAGAAGCCTTGGCTCCAAGAAGTGAAATGGCGATTTTGCCCATGTTTTCCATACGCTTGCTCGTGTGTCCGTATTTATGCGGCGCGCTCGATTTTTATGAGGTTTTGGAAACCTGCAAATTGGGTTTAGGATTGTGGCTCAAAGCTCAAAACGTGACGAAATTGTCTCAAACGCCCCTCACTGGTTGCGAAGAACGGAGAATTATCGCGTTTGCGCTGCGCGCTGCATCCTAAACCCCAAAAGGTGAAACGCCGTCTCTGAAAGGCTTAAACTCCATGTAAGAAGCCTTGGCTCCAAGAAGTGAAATGGCGATTTTGCCCATGTTTTCCATATGCTTGCTCGTGTGTCCGTATTTATGCGGCGCGCTCGATTTTTATGAGGTTTTGGAAACCTGCAAATTGGGTTTAGGATTGCGGCTCAGAGCTCAAAACGTGACGAAATTGTCTCAAACGCCCCTCACCAGTGGCGAAAAACGGAGAATTATCACGTTTGCGCTGTACGCTGAATCTGCAGCTTCGGTTTAGGATTGTGGCTCAAACGCAAAAGTTCATGACATAAAACTCGGAAAATCATAAAAAGTAGCTCACAAACTAAGAAAACCTCGCTCAGAAAACAAGAAGGTTGCAAAAGGTAGCTAAGTAAGACAAGGTGTCTCAGAAAATACAAGCGGACTTCTTCTTACCTGACTATGTCGGTCTTGCATACACATCAGCTGCCAACAGAGGTGTCCGCCAAGTCCTTGCAAGAATCCACTCTCCACCAGAAGCGTCAAGTCATTTGTGCTCAACTCACAACCCCTGTGCACAACTCTCGGAGCCAATCCCGGACTATGCCTTCCGCACAAGCAAAACGAAAACACAAAACAGTCAGATTCCCCTTGCACGCTCCCGGGCTGCGAAGAGCATTCCGTGTCCGTCAGTCCTCCTCATGCAAGATTCCACTCTGCACCTGCGTGTCATCTTGCTTCTACTCAATTCAAACATCAGGACAAAACCCCGCTCCACAACCCTCAACACCTGCCTACTCAGCTCTTCTGCTCAGCTCAAACATCAAAGTTAAACCCCTGCTCACAAGCGGTTAACAGAGACAACACAAAACAGTCGGATTCCCCTTGTGCGCTCCAGGTCTGAGATGGTGGCGAAACGTCAGTCCGCGGCATGCAAGATTCCACACTCCACCTGAGCGTCAAGTGCTTCTACTCGGCTCAAAAACATCAGACAAGACCTCTGTGCTCAACCCTCAAAAGCGTCAAGACGCTGCTGCTCAGCTCAAACATCAAAATTACTGCCCACAAGTCGCCAAGAGAGAACACAAAACAGTCGGATTCCCCTTGCACGCTCCAGGACTGAGATGGCGGCGAAGAGCTTCCATGTCCGTCAGTCCTCGTCATGCAAGTGGCTTCTATTCAGCGCAAACATCCGGACAAAAGACCCCCGTGCTCAACCCTGAGAAGCGTCAAGTCGCTGCTGCTCAGCTCAAATATCCAAGTACAACCCCTGCCCACAAGTTGCCAAGACAGAACACAAAACGGTCGGATTCCCCTTGTGCGCTCCATGTCTGAGATGGCGGCGAAGAGCATTCCATGTCCGTCAGTTCGCATCATGCAAGATTCCTGCACCTGAGCGTCAAGTGGCTTCTACTCAGCCCAAACATCAGGAGACCCCGGTGAACAACCCAGAGGCGTCAAGTCGCGTCTACATCAAAGTAAAAACCCCTGCCAGTCTTCAACCCTTTGCTTCCGCCCTATACCTCTAACTCCAGCGCAACAGAATCAGAAAATGTTGCAGTTTCAATCACAATATGAGGCTCCGACGTCTTGCAAAATGCGCACGACCACAAAAGGGCTGCAGGGAGGAAGCACAAGACAAGACAAAGCGCGAATGAGTCCAGAAGAGGGAAGCCTCAGACTTTGCCTAAGCCCCGAGAGGACCAGGAAGCGATGAGCAAGGGGATCGCATGCTACTGCAAGAATGCGGCTCTGCCCTGCAAGACATGACTCGACATGATGCTAAAATTCCCCTGGTGCCTCTGGTGACCTGCGCACATACCATGCGGACTATCGAGTTGGGATTTGGTTGGCATCTGTCCAAGTCCCTTGCCTAAACCCCTAAGATCCCCTAAGCTTCCCCAAGCCGACACTCGGAGCCCTTCGGCCCGAACCCCAACCCATGACCATTGGTTGCACCTGGATGGAATTGTCATTAGTCTTTCTCCTTCAACACACACGCCCGGCAGCTGTTCCCCAGCCACACGTGCCATGCAAAAGTTCCAAGACTCCTTCGAGACTCCGAATTTTTGCAGGCAGAAAACAAAGCAGCGCTACGCCGCCCTCACGACTGTGACGCAGCCTGCGCCGCCAACACCGACATGGCTCAAGAAACTCTGACAGCATGACACTGCCTGGCGTTTTTCGACGAGAACTCCTAAGAGTTCGTTTTCCGTGAGCAGCTTTGCAATGGCCCGTGCCTCTACAAAGAGCGATGAACAATGCAAGGCCCAACACGCACCCAGACCTTCTTGACTTTGCGCACTTGCTGCTTCACTGCCTTTGTAAGTTGCTTGGCAAGAGCCTCGCAACCATGTCCGGCAGCTTGCATGTTTGACACAAAGGCAGCCAGCTGTCCTTTGCTTCGCGGCGCTCTCGCTTGAGACGCTCTATCTTCTGGTGGGGCGTTTCCTGCCGGAAACGGTAATTCCCTGGCAAACTGCAAAGCACAACACACGCGTCTCTTGTCAGGTGCAACACGCCGCCTGTGGCAAAGCTACTGGCGCTCCATTTGGAGCTCCATGTGCTGCTACACCGACCTCCCCGTCCATAGCTACGAGCTTCTGTACAAGCAGACACCAAAAAGAGGCTGCAGGTTCAGGAGCTGCATTTAGGCTTGCCAAAAACAGCGCACATCCTCGGTCATTCGAAGGCACCTCCACAGTTAAGGTTTTGCTCTCAAGCCAGAAACGGGGGATGCCCTTCAGGCGCCCCAATCCAGTCATCAAACGCAATCTTGCACCGCTTGGGCAACAACCTTGCGAATTCTCCTGGCGTTAGCTTTTCCGGTTGCGGAAAAAGCTTACGCCCTTGAGGAAACAAATGTCCAAGTTCCGCGTTCAAGCCTTGTTGGCTGTCCGCAGGTACGCCTACCAAAGCAAAGGCTTTGTACCAAGCTTTGTTATTCAGAAAAGCATCGCACGCGGCAAAAACAAGTCTTAGCCAGTCTTCTACGTCAACACCGCCTCGTTCGATGCGAACATCGCGGCTGCGAGACTGCAGGAAGCCCTTGTATTGGCTGAAGACACTCACATCGAGCGGCTGAACGTATTGTGTTGTGGACGGAGGCACCGGCAGCAGCCAGAGCTGCTGCAGTCGCGCCACTCGAACAACGGCAGGGGCAACATGCATTGGAGCAGTGTCAAGCAGCAGGATGCCTTGGTAGGACGGAAACTTTGCCCGCAACACTGCTCCCACCAGGCGGAGTATCTCGCACATGATGCTCGCGGTGTTCCAACTACTCGCCTGATGGAAAATGACCACATTCTTTGGTGCAATCGATTGAAAACGGGCAAGCACGGACTTGCTCACAGACCTGCGACCACAGATCAAGATCTGGGGGAGGTGTGGCTGCAGAGCAATGACGCTGCTAATGAGCGCCACGTGCGTGATGGACCCTCGACGACGCGCGGCTGGAACCCTGGCTCTCGGCCGCCGCACCTTCTTCGAGATCCAGCCACGTGCTGCATAGAAAGAGTAGGCGACGCTGGTCTCATCCAGGTTGAGGTAGACTGGGACACGGTCCGTCGCTACGCGTGACGTCAGCCAGTCGGCGTGGTGCCAAAAAAGGCTCACCTGAGTACTTCACAGAGGACAACAAGCAGCAGGAGCTTCTACCACAACACGCCTCTCGGTACCCAAAAAACCCAAGGAAAAGCGGGCCCTGTTTCGGGGGCTCCAAAAGCAGTCCGGGGTGCGGGGTCAGTCACTGAGTACAGGGAACCAAAAGGGTACCCAAAAAGTGGCCCGAAAAGGGGCCCGAAAGAGGCACCCACAAACAGGCCCCAAAAGAGTGACCAGAAGAACAGCAAAAAAACCCTCCCGGGTGCAACCTGAAGGGTTTCGGAAGACTCCTGGCTCTCCAAGTATGTACATGCTCTCTCTTGACGGCAAATCCTGGACCCGAAGTTTCACATCATCTTGCCTTGAGCTACTTGGACTGTAGCAGGACAGAAGATCTTCCGTGAGTGCGGGTAACTTACGTCCTACCAGTCCTACCACCAGGCCAGGACCTTGTCCACCGTTTCTTGCACCGACGAGCAATCTGTAGCCTCCAACGCCCCCCAGCGAAAGCCCCAGCGACGTCGAAAACGCCGGGACCATTTGCGCAGGCCCCGCCTTGCTGCAGGAAGCGCAGCAGGTCCCTGCTCAACACGACGCTGCAGGCAGGGGGGCACTGCCTCCGCAGCCAGCTGGGCAGCATGCAAGACATAGTTCCTGGCAACAAGAGCCGTTGACGGCGCAGCCCCTTGCTGGTTGGCGTGGATTGCAAAGTTGTGGCACTCCCAACTTGCTATGAACCGCACTGCCATCAGGCGGCGCTTGCTTTGCTCCGTCTCGATGCGAACCAGATCCTCGACACTCTGCTGTAAGTACAGGTTCTCCACGAACGCTTGAGTGTCCTCATCAGTCCATGTACAGGCATGCCTCTTCTGCCTGCAAAATTCAATTGCCAATGCAACGTTGAAGCCGGACAAGATGTAGACAGCCAGCAAACTCACGCACTGCGCAGGAGACAAGCCCCCGTCAAGTTCCCGTCGTTTCGCTTTGCGACTTGAACGGGCCAGCGCGTTGATCTGCTTAGTCAAGCTGCGAACCTAAACACCAGGACAACATGACTCAACTCAAGCGCAGAAGTAGCAAGACGATGCGCCCAGACAGGCCTGCGCTTTGGTCTCTTCGAGAGCTGCGCAGGGGTCCATGTGTGAACGATGGCCACTTCAAAACTAACTGTGGAGGTCACCACATAGGGCCTCGGGTTTTCTGCCAGTTTCGGGCATCTACTTTCAGGACCTTCGAGTCGAGCAAGATTGCATTGGCAAGATTGCCCAAGTCCGAATGTAGACCGACATGTACACATTTTTGAGCCTCCAGCTAGCAGTTCCCACGACTCCTTTTGCGCCGACACAGACAGGTTTCCTTCAGTCAAGCTTCTGCGGATAGGCAGAAACAGAGAACAACAGATCCTTGGCTGCAGCACGCCCTCTTCGGCATCTTTGCTTCCCACCTGACCGACAATTCTGAGGCTGCAGCACAGCCTCCCCGGAATCTTTGCTTCCCTTTTTTTTTTTTGAAGCTAGCTCGTTTACCGCATCAGCAGCACAGTGAGTCTGTCTCCAAGCCGATTCGCTCGTAGTGACGGGTGAAACACTCTCCATGGAATAACACAGCAGCCGAAATCTCTGCTTCCCACCAGACCCAAAATTCTGAGGCTGCAGCCTCACCCAAAAGAATAACGGCAGCGCGGTCCCCCGCGCGCGGGCACGCGTCCAGCCCCCTCCTCGGAGTTTTTCCTTGCTCACCAAACACAACCGCGTACTTTTGCGGCTTTCAGGCAAAATCCAGGGGTCGATATAGACCGACTACGCCTGCCAGGTTCATTTGCACCGACCGGCTACTTTGGTGTTCATTCCGTGCCGACACAGACCGGATACTTTCAGCAAGGCTTCTGCACATAGGCAGAAGCCTTAGGGGCAGCTTCTCAGCCTCCCCCAAAAAATCTTGGTTGCAGCGTGGCCTCCCCGCGGTCTTTGCTTCCCACGAAAAATCTGAGGTTGCAGCACAGCCTTACTGGGGGCTTTCCTCCAGTGCTGACACAGACTGGCCACTTTGGTGTTCCTTCTGCGCCGATACAGACCAGACACTTTCAGGAAGTCTTCTGCAGGTAAGCAGAAGGTGTGAGTTGCAGCTTCTGAGGGCAGCCTGACCCGAAACACGCTTGGTCGCAGAACGGGGCCACCCAAACTGAAAACAGAAGACATGATCTTGAGGCTTTCAGGGCAGGGGTCCCGTCCTGCGGTCGGGCAAAAGCGACTTTTTGCACGCTCACGGCTTGTACAGAGGCACATCGCAATCGATGCATATCGAATTTCCACGAAGCCATTCCTGGTCTTCCGGACTGCAATCTTGCAGCTCTGTGCGCCAGGAGTTAGAGGTAATCAGCATGGCCACACCATACACGAAGACCGAGTAGCTGTACATGTTCGTGGAGCTATGGGCCAAAGTGACTTCCTCGACAGGGCCCTGGAAAAGCTTTCTGTGGGCCAAAACCATCTGGCAGCAGGCCTCGTCGAAAAGGATTGCTTTGTGGCGAAGTGGGTCGTACTCACGCAAGTCCGGATGAAGGACGCCGGAGCAGTTGAGCTCCAGAGTGGCATCATGCCCAAACAAGCCACGGCCATAAATAGTCTTTCCCAATCTTGTAGGGCCTGTCAAGACAAGAAACTTGCGCCGAAACATTGGCCGTCTGAATTGTGGCAGAAAATCGGACTCCACCTGCTGTACTCGAATGGGGTCTCTCATCAAGGGCTGCAAGTCACGCAAGGCAGCTGCCTGTCGTTCAGCCACAGCATCGGCACGAACACACTGGGTGTGAAATTTCACATTCTCCAGGTACGCCCGGACGTGTTTTTTGCACTTCACATATTCTTTCTCGGCCGTCTCTTTGGTGATCTTGCAGCTTTGCCACAGAGAAGTCACCCATTCGGGCGACACCCCAAAGCATGTGTAGCACGCGGCCGTGGTTGTCATGTAAATTGCACCGATCTTGGGGCATTGCAGATAGTAGTGTCCCTGATCCCAGGCCTTGCGACAGGATCTCCCGCGAGCCTGCGCACAGTCCACAGACATGTGGGGCGGCGCCCCACGAAAGACGACATCACCTTTGCCCATGGACACGCTTTTTCTGCTGTCCCACATCAGATGCAAGTGATGCAAGTGCACAGCCGCCTGCTTCCGCTCAAGACTCACTTGGCTGTGGAGCTCCAAGGCAGCTGTGGCGCGATCCAAGTGAAAGCGACGCTGCAAGTCCTTCACAAAGTCCTGAAAGTCAGACCACAAACGCAGGACCTCTGCATTTGCACGTAGCAATTGGCAGACCTCATCAATTGATGGCTTCTGGTCCGTCAAAAGCAAGGTGATAGAAGCATCCTCAATCTTCGACCAAGACCCACTGTAGCGAAACATGGTGCCGCATCCACGATATGACAACAACACGGGTTCCTGGACGATGGGTGTTTCTATCGTCCAGCTTGCCAGGAGGGAGCGGGCCGCTGCTCGCAAGTTCTGCGGGACCTGGTCTCGCATACCTTCCAAAACGGCGCTTTTGTCCGGTTTGCTGCTGAATTCCACCCTCAGCCGCTGCCGTTGCTCATGTCCACGCAGATTCCGAGCTGTCATTTGTTGCGCTACCCACCTGTCCCGGATGAAAATCTGCAATGCGTTTCGGGTGTCCCTTGTGTTGAGGCCTTCAATCGGAGCTTGCTTGCCACACAGCCGTCGCCTCTTGTTGGGCTCCATGGCTCAAGGCTTGCAAAATGCAAGGCCTGAATTACTAATTTTGCTGGTTGCACGTTGGCAGTGCAAAGGAATTGTTGCTTGTAACGTTCGGCGGTGAGAGCGGTAAGGTTTAGGACTGCGCTGCGGCTCTTCGGTCCTGAGCCTCTTGGGGCAGCGGGGGCTCTGAGCAGTGAGGGCTGCTCATGTGGGCTGCGCTGAATAAGCTCTACTTCAGCCATCACACGCGGACACACTTTTGGCAGCAAGTAGCTGGGCAGGGCCCAGCCTGCCTATCGTCACTCGACCCCAGGCCGCTGCTTCAAGGACTCCAATTGGAGAAGCACACATGGGTGCACCAGCTCCTCCTCCGCAGCAGCTCCGCTGCACCATCAGTTCACCCGAAGCAGGCGGGACTTTGATAAACTATCGGCTGTACTGATCGGCAGAACAAACAAGCAAGCCAAAGCAACACGCTGACACTTCCCGTGACACGCAGTACTGATCGTACCACAGAACCCACTAGGAACGCAGCAGGACCCTTCTTTGAGCACCTTCCCAGGGGCAAAAGGGGCTGAAAGGACCACGCAGGACCTAGCTGAACGCCAGACTGCAATGTGGGAGGGCGGTCCTGCAAAACCGTGGTGGGAGGATAGAATTATTATTCCAAAAAACGCATTTGCAGGACCTTCTGTTTCCTGTCAAACACACTGCCAAATTGAAGATTCTAGTGGTCTCCGGTCCGGCCGCGTGGCTGTTTGGCCTACGAAGGTGACTCCACTCATGTGAAGGCTTCACACGTGGTCGACAAGGCCTCTCTAGTCATGTCAGAGCTTCAAGCTTGACCCAATAGGCCTTCTCTTCAACGCCCCAGTGAAAGGATTTCAAGAAATCTAAGAACTAACTGTACCAGCGGCTTGCCGCCCACTCACAGAGGGCCCCGAAAACGCGGGTGCTGCAACGGAAACATGGACGAAACCACAGTTTGGACAAGAGTGCGCCAAACATGGACGAGACCACTGCTTGGGCATGAATGGAGAAAAAGAACAAGGACGGGCACGAGGGAAATCTCATAGCATGACAGGCTTCCGTGTGCAGTGGAACCGTAAACTGCGTGATTCTCTGAGAACATATGAGAAGCGACACTTAAGGTGTTGCAAACCTCAGAATGGAACTGCTCATCGATCGTGTTTTGGAGCAGTTTTTCTGAGACACCTCATCGTTGGTATCTGAGCTACCGTTTTCCTTTTTTTATGAGCTGTATTTCTTGATTTTCTGCGCTACCTTGTCCGTATTTGTGCGGCACGCTCGAATTCTGAGGTTTTGGAAATTGGGTTTAGGAAGCTCAAAAAGTGACGAAATGGTCTCAAACGCCCCTCACTGGTTGCGAGAACGGAGAATTATCGCGTTTGCGCTGCGCGCTGCATCCTAAACCCCAAAAGGTGAAACGCCGTCTCTGAAAGGCCTAAACTCTGCAAGAAGCCTTGGCTCAAGAAGTGAAATGGCGATTTTGCCCATGCTTTCCATATGCCTGCCTCGATTTTGATGAGGTTTTGAAACCTGCAAATTAGGTTTAGGATTGCGGCTCAAAGCTCAAACGTTGACGAAATTGTCTCAAACGCCCGTCACTGGTTGCGAAAAACGGAGAATTATCACGTTTGAGCTGCGCGCTGCATCCTAAACCCCAAAAAGGTGAGACGCCGTCTCTGAAAGGCTTAAACTCCATGTAAGAAGCCTTGGCTCCAAGAAGTGAAATGGCGATTTTGCCCATGTTTTCCATGTGCTTGCTTGTGTGTCGTATTTATGCGGCGCGCTCGATTTTTTTACCGTGTAACACGGAATCATAGCCAGGAAACTAGACCCAGTGCTCCATCATCAGTCAACCCTTTTTAAAGGCTCAGAGACAAAAGGGTCCAGAGTGAAGGCCCTTTGCTGCGTTAATACTTTTGCGTATTCTAAACTGTGCGAATCGCGCACTAATGTTATAATTTTCCCCTTTCTAAATTTCACATTATACGGGGCCATAAGCGTATCAGTATTATGGGCCCCGCAAGAACATTTTAATTAAGAGCCCTTTCATGCTGCGTTGAAAGCCCGTTTAAACGACCCTGCAGCAAAGAAAGAAAAGCAAAAGCACATATTAAATACACTAAAATGCGCGATGTTAATGCCCTTTCAGTACATTTTATAAGGAGTGGTGTCACAAATGCTTCCTTGCTTTGATGAGGCCTGTGCCCAGTGGTTGTTCCAAGGTAACCACTCATCAACTCATGAGGGACTTCGAAGGCTTCGAAGGGGGGCTTCAAGCTCGCACTAGTCTGCAAACACAATGCTCGCATGATGGGTTTCAACCAGATTCTTGTGCTGTGAAACACGCTTGCACAGCTACAAACACTGTCCCCCCAACCCCCTCTTGGCATATTTGCGAAAATTGTCATGCCCAACCCCCTTGCTAATCAGTCCCCCAACCCCCTTTGCTGATCTGTGAAACTTGTCATACAAGCACTGTTTCCCATGAGGTTTTGGAAACCTGCGAATTGGTTTAGGATTGTGGCTCAAAGCTCAAAACGTCACGAAATTGTCTCAAACGCCCCTCACTGGTTGCGAAGAACGGAGAATTATCGCGTTTGCGCTGCGCGCTGCATCCTAAACCCCAAAAGGTGAAACGCCGTCTCTGAAAGGCCTAAACTCCATGTAAGAAGCCTTGGCTCCAAGAAGTGAAATGGCGATTTTTGCCCATGTTTTCCATACGCTTGCTCGTGTGTCCGTATTTATGCGGCGCGCTCGATTTTTATGAGGTTTTGGAAACCTGCAAATTGGGTTCAGGATTGTGGCTTTGTCTTGGAAGTGAAATGGCGATTTTGCCCATGTTTTCCATACGCTTGCTCGTGTGTCCGTATTTATGCGGCGCGCTCGATTTTTATGAGGTTTTGGAAACCTGCAAATTGGGTTTAGGATTGCGGCTCAGAGCTCAAAACGTGACGAAATTGTCTCAAACGCCCCTCACTGGTTGCGAAGAACGGAGAATTATCGCGTTTGCGCTGCGCGCTGCATCCTAAACCCCAAAAGGTGAAACGCCGTCTCTGAAAGGCTTAAACTCCATGTAAGAAGCCTTGGCTCCAAGAAGTGAAATGGCGATTTTGCCCATGTTTTCCATATGCTTGCTCGTGTGTCCGTATTTATGCGGCGCGCTCGATTTTTATGAGGTTTTGGAAACCTGCAAATTGGGTTTAGGATTGCGGCTCAGAGCTCAAAACGTGACGAAATTGTCTCAAACGCCCCTCACTGGTTGCGAAGAACGGAGAATTATCGCGTTTGCGCTGCGCGCTGCATCCTAAACCCCAAAAGGTGAAACGCCGTCTCTGAAAGGCTTAAACTCCATGTAAGAAGCCTTGGCTCCAAGAAGTGAAATGGCGATTTTGCCCATGTTTTCCATATGCTTGCTCGTGTGTCCGTATTTATGCGGCGCGCTCGATTTTTATGAGGTTTTGGAAACCTGCAAATTGGGTTTAGGATTGTGGCTCAAAGCTCAAAACGTGACGAAATTGTCTCAAACGCCCCTCACTGGTTGCGAAGAACGGAGAATTATCGCGTTTGCGCTGCGCGCTGCATCCTAAACCCCAAAAGGTGAAACGCCGTCTCTGAAAGGCTTAAACTCCATGTAAGAAGCCTTGGCTCCAAGAAGTGAAATGGCGATTTTGCCCATGTTTTCCATATGCTTGCTCGTGTGTCCGTATTTATGCGGCGCGCTCGATTTTTATGAGGTTTTGGAAACCTGCAAATTGGGTTTAGGATTGCGGCTCAGAGCTCAAAACGTGACGAAATTGTCTCAAACGCCCCTCACCAGTGGCGAAAAACGGAGAATTATCACGTTTGCGCTGTACGCTGAATCTGCAGCTTCGGTTTAGGATTGTGGCTCAAACGCAAAAGTTCATGACATAAAACTCGGAAAATCATAAAAAGTAGCTCACAAACTAAGAAAACCTCGCTCAGAAAACAAGAAGGTTGCAAAAGGTAGCTAAGTAAGACAAGGTGTCTCAGAAAATACAAGCGGACTTCTTCTTACCTGACTATGTCGGTCTTGCATACACATCAGCTGCCAACAGAGGTGTCCGCCAAGTCCTTGCAAGAATCCACTCTCCACCAGAAGCGTCAAGTCATTTGTGCTCAACTCACAACCCCTGTGCACAACTCTCGGAGCCAATCCCGGACTATGCCTTCCGCACAAGCAAAACGAAAACACAAAACAGTCAGATTCCCCTTGCACGCTCCCGGGCTGCGAAGAGCATTCCGTGTCCGTCAGTCCTCCTCATGCAAGATTCCACTCTGCACCTGCGTGTCATCTTGCTTCTACTCAATTCAAACATCAGGACAAAACCCCGCTCCACAACCCTCAA